TCAGTGCAACATGCAAAGGGGTTAAAATTGTGATGAGAAAGTTTCAGATTAGATAACTGTGAAAAAAAATAATACTGAAACACTGGAATAAATCCTCCAGAGAGCTGATGGACTCCGCACCACAGGTCGTTAAACCAGGCTAGTCTATTGGGAATGCAGGAGGTAAGGGAACAAAGTAGAAGACTTCTTCACATTTCTTCCTAGCCCATTTTCCCAAGCTTCTAGCATGTACTGCATTGGCAGCTTAATTTGTATTAGAGTTAAGGCCGGAAAAAAACTCTTAATCCCCAGGGCCAAGACAGGCGGGCAGCTGGAATTATTGCAGATAGACAAGAAATCAGGAGGTCACAAGTTGTATATTGGCAAGCAAAGATGCTACTACACTATGCTGTTTTTTTTTCCCTGGCTGTGAATACAAGAAGGATGGGTATTGCAAGGGAAAGGAAGGGATGGATCCTGATGGCTAATGCTAAACGACCCTCAAGAAAATTGGTTAGCTGTTGTACAGAACCTCTACGCCTGCTAAAAGCAGGAGGAAATACTGGAATATTTGTATTTTCATTCATAATGGTGTGTATAAGTGTTAACATTTTTCATTAAGAAAAGCCTAGATATTTTCATGCGGCCATAGATGGCTTGAAGCTTGTAAAAATGGTTGTTATCTCCACTAACAGTTTTCTACAGACTATAGCTCATCAAAACAATAAATAAAGCCCTTAAATTACACAAACTCACACTAGTTGGAGATTGCTATCTGCAGAATAATGCCTTTGCATCAAACATTCCTGTAGCACAGATCAAAGCAGTAGATTATGCTCGAGCTTTTAAAAAAAATTGACAATTGTTTCTGGTTGTGAGAGGTTTTATGAATATGTTTATAGGCAGAAATCAGCCATAAAAGACACAGACTATAAAACACTGGGAGCTATAGAACAGAAATCATTGTCCAAAGCACTTTCTAAACTTCAGAAAATGATCATAAAATTGTAAAAGTACTTGTCAGATTTGAAATACAGCCTTAACAAAAAGTGTCTTCGCATCGACATGCTGTTAGAAGTAGGTATGGGTATTGAAAGTAAGGAGCTGCAGGAAAAGAAAGGTTTACCAAGTAAACCAAACGACATCAAATTCAAATAAAATAGCAACCTGACAACAGCCTGCATAACAATAATATAATTTTAGATATGCAGATCAACTGAAAGTGCCAGGCAATCTTCCAGGCTAACATGTGACTGATTGCATTAAGGTCATATGCCATATTCAGGCCTGAGAACCTGTGATGCCAGGGAACAGATAATATACTGACCATCTAATTTATTTTTCCCTTGAGAACATGCAAACCTTTTTTTTTTTTTTTTGTAAGGGACATCCATAACCCATCCATGGCCTCTATTTTTGTGAGACCTCAGACCTACAACCT